CACTCTGCTCTTACTGGTGCAATGTGCAATCAATGAAGACTGGCTACCAGGCTGGTCCAATTTAGCCATGAAACCTCCCACACTAAAATGACAGCTGTTTCAGTTTCATTGTCCAACCCCTGTATGTTGCATGAATGCTGGCTGGTGGATTATTCTTCTGTTGATTCCTCCCTAAATCTCCAAGCTGAAAGTAACCAGCCTTCATTTACCAAACATCTGTTCTGCAAAAAATGGGTGTAAAGTCATTTTCACTCTCATTTCGGGATGTATCGATTTGATTGTAAGCTTAAAACCTGCATCCAGTCTCAGATATTATAGGCATGTTTATATCAGAGTGGACTTACGGAGAAAATCAATTTGTGTTGAAAAATTAGAGGTCCATGTCGGATCATTTTATGTGCAGTGGTACAGGTTTCAGGTTATAAGTGGGATATATTGGGTTAATGATTTTTCTTCATTAATTTGATTTGATGATCAGAAAGGTTGATCGGATTAATGAGGCATTGAATGTGCAAAGTTGTAGCATTACAGTAACCTTAAATATTACTTAAACTGAATATTATAAATATAGAATATATTTAAATTGTTTGCTTGCCTACCTATTTGACAGGAGAGAGGATCCTGAGGGAAAAATAACTTTTAGCTTCTGAAATTTGAAATATTTTTGTGCAGATGTGACAGAGCTCAGGATTTTAAAAGGAGGTTGTCGTACTTCAAACAGTGTGACCTTATGAACCTGGACAGCATGTTGAATTAATTGTTGACCGTTTGTGCAAAACATTAAATACCACAGGATCATGACCAGATCATAAATACCACAAGATCATGACCAGATCATAAATACCACAAGATCATGACCAACATAAGGAGATTTAAAATGTCTGCAGTTGATATTCAAACACAGAAGTGAGGGTTTTTTTAATCAAATAAGTTTTTTACACAGAGTGAAACGTGGCTAGTCATTTCTTGCTTCCAACATGTCATTATGGAATTATGTCAAATTTTAGAACCATATTCAAATGAAAGAAACTGAGCACACCGAAGCCATCTGGGTTTTTGGTGACTTGGGCCTTTCAGCTGTAGATAAGAGAAGCTCATTCTTGGACACATGCCACCGTAGAGCTCTACTTTGGGAGAATTGAAAGGAAATAGGTCTGCCATAGCCGTGTTTTAAGAATGCTGTTGTACACGCCAGAGAATACATGACATTATCTAGAGTTGTACACGATATTGGACTGGAGTGTTGGATTTGATTTGAGGCTCTTTTATTTTAGCCAAGTAGGCTAAAATTAGCGCTGGTCCTGTGTCCACATGGTAAAGCTCCATTTGAGCCCTTAGATCAGGCTCCACTTAAATTTCTGTCATTTAAAACATCCGTGCTTTCAGCTCTGACATCTGCAAAGACAGTGAGTGATTTATCTGCTCTCTCCGTCACTCCTTTCTGTCTCAGAATATGGGGCGATGGCACCTCAGCTGTCCTGCATCCTAACCTTTCACGTCAGGAGTGATAACTCTGAATGGCCTTTATCCTCCTCCTCCTCATAACTCTGAGGAGGAAGCCACGTCTCGTCTCCTCTGTCCTGTACACGCGCTCTCATGTTACGAGGCACGCACGGCCGCTTAGCGTGAGATAATATTTATTTTTAATCTCGGTTTGTGGCGTTTGCTGTTATTTGTCACTACGGCTGAATTTTATCAAGCCTCCCTGTGGTCAGAGGGAGGCTTGAGGCATGCAGGGGTTGTTACGCTGCAACATTGGGCATGATCCAGCTGCTGATTTGTTCCATTTGTTTCTACTCTCCTCCTGAGGCATTGTTGACCTGCTCTGTTTATCATCAGACTGTTACAGTTCGTAACCTTCATCGTCACTATTCACAGCAGCAGGTCTGTCATCTTAGCCTCTGCCATGACCAGAGAATATTTCTCTTCTTTTCTCTGCTGTTTAGTTGCTGGCAAAATGCATTAACAGTGGAGGAAATGTGTAAATACAAACTGTAAATACAAAGAGGGATCAGGAGGAAGGAGGATCCTGGGCTAAAGGCCCTTAATGTTTCAAGAGGGTGCATTCTGCACATAATTATATCAAATAAACAAGACATGCCCATAGATCCTGACGTCATTACTGTAAGCAATGGCAAACTAACTTTACTAAAAATGAATATGTCCAAAGCAAGAGTTTGTGATGTAAGATACAATGACCTCCTTATTTCAGTTCGGTTGAAAATTATTGTCAGCATTATACTGCAGATTTATTTTCCATTTCACCTCCAGTGCCACCCATTTAGACTTGTACATTAGAGATGTAATAAGTGCTGACAGTTTTATAATAAGCTCATTAAAAATGTATCATCACCACCTGAGCTACTTGTCTCTCTTACAGCTGTAGACTTTTATATCTAACTAAAAATCTGTTACATTTGAGCCCCTGACAGGTTAATTCCCAAAATGTTGATGAACCTCTGTGCCATGTAAATGAAAATGTACCTCTCCCTATAATAGAGCTTGAACAGCAGATGTTATCTTAACATGTATGTTTTATTATCCAGAAGTTATCTTAACAAAGATTGTTTCTGTTGGGCTTTCAAAATCATTTAGAAAAAAGATAGGGCTGATAATGAAATCAAACCATTCATTCGAATATGTACTACTTGCGACTTTGGCACCTAGAAAGTAGATGACATTACCAATCGTATTCACTCAACCATCACCCATCTTTAAATTCAGGTCTTTAAATCACTTCAATGCCCACCTAGTGCGTGCAGACTGCTTAATCCAGTAAAAGATTGGGTCACTCTCAGGAGCTCTGTGAATTGCAGCATTGTGCTGTTAAAGGATGCCACTTGCGCAATAAGTCCATGTTTGAAATTTCTTTGCTGGTTAATCCTACAAAGCCATTTGTTAGTGATATTAGCCTCTTTTCATTGCAGGGACTTTTAGTCATTTCCCAGGATTTTGAAAACCCTCCGTGTGTTTTGACACGGTTTTACCCAATTAATTTAAATATAGCGAGTCCACACATTTCTGGATTAAAGGTCCTGGACTGGGGATAATTTCTTTCAGATTACCCCAGGATTGTTGAGGGGCGGGGTTATGTGCAGAGCAAGGATAATTGGTTGACCCTTTCTTGCCATGGTCTGACTTCCGCTCACCCACCATATTTTGGAGCTGCGAGTTGTTGTTGTGTTCTAAGACGATGTCTTTGGGCGATCACCTGCCTTCTTTCTCTTCCAGGTCATTGGGTTTCATTTACAATGTGAACCCACACTACAAGCGAAAAGCCAGTTGTGCATTCTCCATCTTGTTTTGTGAACAAATGGCGGGATGTGGGCTTCTTGGTCGGGTCTTCCTTGTTTGGCCTTTGCTTCCTTATTACCGCCACCCGCTGGACTAGAGATGTAGTGCAGTTTTCTTCACAACTTCCTCTTACGTCATTAGGCTGGTTTAAAAATATTTTTCACTGCCTTTCAGAGCAGTGGAAACCAAAAGCGCACAAATTCCTTTTACCTTGGTAAACAAAAATCCTATGTGTTTAAATTCTGGGACTCTTGGGATGAAAATGAGCTGTTGTAGCAAAGGGAAAGTGATTGGGAATGATAGCAACTTAGCCACAAAGTGGTAGGCGATGCTAAGTCATTGAGTGTGGTCAGCAGATACTGAGATGTATAGTGTGCAGAGGTTGCCATCTTTCTCCATAAATGTTAGCTACAAATTTTTAGAACCATTCACGCTGTCTCTCTACACCTGTAATACATTTGGTGACACCTGGCATTTATTGCAGCATAAAAATGATTTAGAAGTTAAATGGGTCATACTGTGGTTTAATATTTTCAAAGCCAAAACAGTAGATGTCGGCCCAACCTTTTCAATAATATTTTGTTAAAATGGAAATAGTGAAAACTAATATTTTTCAGTATTAGATAGACTACTCATTATCTGGAGTCTTTGTTTGCTATGCAGCCAAAGCAGAAAGACATTCATACTTTTCAATTATGTATTTATTTATCACAAGTTATATCGTTATTGCAACATTTAACAATATTATCACATATTTTCCTAATATTGTGCAGCCCTAATTTGGGATAAAGTAGAGCAGAGACTAAAAGCCAGGTCATTCTGTCCAACATCTGAATCTGACCTTACAAATTTGCTTCCAGAAAAATGGTCAAAAATTCCCATAAACACTCCCAACCTTGTGGAAAGCCTTCCCAGAAGCGTTAAAGCTGTTACAGCTGCAAAGGGTGGACAGAAGTCATTTTAAACACTTTGGATTAAACCTGAACGACAATCAGGTTCATATGTCTGTGAAGGGAGACGGGCATATTGCTTTTGGCAGGATAGTGTATTTAAGACTTCATATACACAGAATAATAAACATATTACTTTGACAACAAATGTTCGAATCAAATCAAAACTGAACAAACCACAGTTGTTTCGCTTTTTCTGTTCATGTTTAGTTGAGTACAGCCTTGTTTGCCTTTCATACCTGAATTCAGTCTTGAAAACTCACTTACGCTTAGGTCAAACCCATTTACTATGTGCCCAGGTGATTGCTACACTCCCTCCTCTAGCCGAGGTTTATTTTTGTGGTCGTCGGCATTGATCTACTGTTGCGCTTCTGTGCATCTCACCCCTCCTTAAACATCCAGGCAACAGTGGATTGTCCTACCAACAGTCTCAGTAACCTGAGTAACAACACACATAAAACATGGAAAACCAGAGAACACTGGACAGAGCAGGTTTTGACGTTTTCTACAGGCCTCTTAAAGTTATCAGAAGAAGTGTGGCGTTATTCTTTGGGAAAGAAATGATTTCAGCCTAAGAACATTTAATAGCAAAGTGAACAAATGTATGATAAATGTATAATGATAAATAGGAGGAAGCCGGAGTACCCGGTGAGAACCCACGCATGCACAGGGAGAACATGCAAACTCCATGCTGAAAGACCCCCCGGCCGGGAGTCGAACCCAGGACCCTCTTGCTGCAAGACAAGACAAGAGCAGTATCCACTGCGCCACCGTGCAGCCCTCATATATACACATCTATTTATAGTCAGCAACAAGGCACTCTGTTGCTGAAAGGTGCTGTTATATATATATATATATATATATATATATATACATACATACATTTATTTATTTTGAATCCGCGTTTTCTAAATTAACTACATAGAATTAAACTGTAAGTTTCTTAAAACCTTGGTGTACTTTGGTTCTGTCTAGTCCGATTTAAGCAGTTTGGCTAAAAGAATCACATGTACTGAATGAATGTGTCCCACCTCTCTCTCTAATATCAGGGGGCCGTGTTCTCCAGCTTTCCTCTGAGCAAATGTTCCATACACTGTCCAGTTTGCTTTAACATGAAACAAGCTCTCCTTCTCAGATGTAGCCAAACAAATGTGATAAAACACTTCAGTATACCTTTCATTTTACATTTCTTCACCTTTGTCTTTATATAGTAAAACTGATTGGGATGTGAATGTAAAAAAACAACAATATAAAAGCTATGGATAGAGGAATGGGGTGGGGAGTGAAATGGGATTTGACCATATATGCAGACATTTTTGTCTGACATCAAAGTTTCTTTGAGTTTTGTTTTAAGTGTTTAAAGAATAACTGCAGCATCATACTTTCTTCAGAACCTTGTTACGTATGCAGCTTTAAAGCAGAATTATGTTTCTTCTGAACTTACGTTCTCTTGGCAAAAGTGGAAATATGTTTTCGTAAAAAAAAAAAAGAAAAATGTGGAATGTTAAATTGAGGACTGCTGCGTGGCCAAGTTAAACAGGAGGCAAGTGGGAATTTTAGTTTTTTTTAAAGCCTCCCTCTATTTTAAAGTTATCTTTTTTCTGCGTATTGGTAGTTAGGAGTATTTCTTTTCAGCATTTTCCTTGAATTATGACCCAATAATCTGACTGATCCTCACTTCCCCCTTATTATGTGACCAGAGACTGGGCAGCAAGTATGTGCTTCTGTTTTAATTACACTCCTACATTACCAAAATCGTTTTTTTAACATCTGAGCATTTAGTCACAGCTTTGCAGTATAAGCCACTTTAAATCAGTCATTAAGCCTGTTCTCAAGCTGTACCCACACACAGCAACATCTCAATTTGTAAACAGTGTTTTCTTTCATTAAACCTGGAACAATATTGCAGATGGTTTTCTGCTACTCTGGTTTAGACTCATCACTCTCTGTCCAGTGAAATGACAGAGTTCCTGCAAGCTATCCTTGGCTGTCTCACTCTTGACATTTAATTAACCAAGCAGAGCTTCATCAGCCCAGAACTCTGACAAGCTGCACATTTTTCCCTATTTCTAAATGGAGGAGGTTGCACCTCAGATAGTTGTTTAAGTGTATGCCCAATGTTCCTAACCACCTTTTCTACAGCAGCCAAATTAGTCATGTATTACAGTAACTTCATTTCTTGCAATAGGGTGCTGGTCAGAAGATCCACTTCCTCTTGCATTAATAACAAGTTAATTTTAAACTTTGAATGATTTAGTTGAACTGGTCTTTTTACAGGGTGGAGTGATTATACAACACACAGTCAGTCAGTCATTTTTTATACCGCTTCTTCCATAGTGGGTAGCGGGGAAGCTGGTGCCTATCTCCAGCACTCTATGGGCGGGTGGCGGGGTACACCCTGGACAGGTCGCCAGTCCATGCAGGGCAACACACAAACAACCATGCACACACTCATTCACACACCTAAGGGCAATTTAGAGAGAATTAACCTAACCGGCATGAAAGGCTCCGAGCTGAACGAGTCGAACCCAGGACCTTTTGCTGCAAGGCACCAACTGCGCCGCCGTGCAGCCCATACAAAACACAACTGTAATGAATTTTAAATACAGATATTGGATGTAAAACTTCAATGCCTCTTTACTCTAATGAAATTTATACATGCAGGGCAGCATTCTCCAGAGTAATACCCTGGGCCACTTCAAATTTTTGACCAATCACACAGTGTTTGTCTAAAAACCACACAAGAAAAATATTCTGCCCAGATTATGTGTCAAAAACAAGTTGTAAGAGCTCCCAAACCAGGACAGCAAGAACAGACTGACTTCATTTTGTCCTTGCAGTTTCTGGGAGAGAGAGCACAATCATTGTTCTTGTGGAGTATCTAAATTGTCTCGCCTTTGGCCCTCCTCAACGACAGGACACATCGCCTTTCACTAATATGTCTTTAGGATGCCAGTATCGTTCTCGCTGCTGCTTTAGGAGTCACATGTGGGAGCCCCCCATTTCTAATTGCTGCAGCAGCTGCGTCAAATCATTTATTGATCAAAATTAAACGTATGCATTCATCCATGACAAGAATTTAAGTTTAAGTTTTTTAGGAAGTTTGTGTTTTTGTTTTAAAGACATTCTGAATTTGTTATCTTATAAGCCAAATGCATGTATTTACACAATGTGGCTGTGGTACATGCCATCACATTATGTATGCTTACACATAATACTGCTATTCTGAGAGTTGAATTTATTGCATTTAACTCCATTCATGCTATGTAAGTATGCATAATAATCCCAACATTTACCTTGTTCGTACCATATTATATTCTATCTGTTTACCATTTAATAGAATTAAAGAAAATAATCTAGTGCACATTTGCATGATAGAGTTGAACTAGCTGAGCTTACCCCTCTAGGGCTAAAGGTAAAGTCAGGCTGCTAGTTGCTTTTATCACCCTTATTTACAGATTTAATAGCACCTAATGTAGAAATCTTCTGCATTCCTTCTATCACAGCCAACAGGCACAGACTGAAGATTTTTACTGATTAAACTTGTTCTTTTTTATTTTTTTATTTTGATATTTTGCTTTTTTAGTAAATATATTTGATTAAAGTCACATAAAAAGAACAAGGGGAAGGGCTTTACATACAAATAAAAATAGAAAGTTGCAGAGCTGCTGATTGGAAGCAAAACAAGTAAATGTTGGTTTGTTTAACCATTTGTACTTTTAATAACATATATTTTTTGAAGTTTAAAGAGATGCATTTAATTTTTCAGAAAATTAGTGTAAAGTAAAATGCATCAAAACAGTTATTAAACCTGTGGGCGATGGAGTTGTGAAGGTTTGATGAACGTTTTCTGATGCACACCTGATCACAACTTAAGCTGTCAGCTTTTCTTGTTTTTTGACTTTTGCTCCACAGACAAAAGTACTGTTTTTACATGTCACATTTCAGAGAGGAAGGATTTTAACACTGCTTGTGTGTTAGAACACTTGGCCTCCACTGCAGAGCAGAGCTCTGCGACTGCAGCTATGCCTCTGGCTGCCTGCTTTATTGAATCCATTTGGCAGCCCACAAGCTAACCCATCACAGGATCATGTTCTGGCCACTGCTGCTGCTCATCTGTCAGCATTACAGAGGGGGATTATTTAACCCTTTCAGACCTGATACATCATATATACAGTTCTTCCTTTCAGACTGAGGGCAGGCTTTTACCACTAAATGCAACATAAGCAGTGTGATGTTCAAGATCCACATTTCTATTTTTAATGATGAACTCAAGGGCATTATAAATCTGATTGCTTTTTCATTTGATTCAAAAATATTTAAAAGGTCTGAAAGGGTAAGCATGAGAGTCATTAAGGTGCAATTGGTTATATAATGATGAGAATAATGAAGCTGGCAGTTTTTGTTTCATCTCTAAATGATTAGCTTTTCATTGTAACAGCATTCAGAAATTCTGTCCAGTTTCGTCTATTTTCCTGCGACCTCCTCTCTTGTAGTCCCGAGAGCCCCTAGCGCTGTGTGACCTGAAAGCTGAAGTGTCTCCCAGAATCTCGGCTGAGGATTTAATCGACCTCTGTGAACTCTCGCTCGGCGGACCACCCAAAAGAAATAAAAGTGCCAAGCCGAAAATTGTTGCTGTCGACATCCGCAATGTGGAAGAGTATCCTTACCATTTAATTAATATCACTCTTTTCTTGTCACCTGGTGTTTTTCAGCTGTTTATAAGCAGAACGGTGCTTAAATTACTACATATAAATGGATGCTGATGCGTTGGTAAGTTTTATTATATTGTACAGCGTGACCAAGTGAAGGTCTTGGAGTTCCAACGACAAACATAGTCCAGCAGCAGTGCTGAGTCCCTCATCTGTTGCTGAATTTGTAAGCATCTCTTTACAGAAACGGCCAGTTAAACCTATCATCCGAGACTGAAGCCTCTAACACGGCCACACTATGATGATTTGTGATGTCAGATTCTGATGCTCTAACATTGCTCATTTTTGTGGTTGGTGACCTTTTTGTCAGCTTTCACTTTTTCAACAAGCCAAAGATAGTTTTTCATAGAAATCTGACAAAAATATGTTGTTCAATTTCAGCCTCACAGTATGCTGTAGTATTTTCTTAAGGTTGAATGCTTACTCATGTGATAGAGCTTTAATGTTGAGAAATTACCTTAACAGCTGAAAATCTCTTTTTCTGATGGCATGACAGAAACCATCTACTAGCCAAAACCTGTGGCCGGCTTACTGAAATGACTAATGAGTGGCATAAATATGACTTAAAAAACATAATATTTACAGAAAAAATTCTTTCAAGTTATCTTATGTCCCACTGTTCTTCTTATTTGCAGGTTACTTCTTGATATGCTTAGATTTCCTGTTGGAGTTTTCAAGACACAAAAAAAGCACAGAGACTAAAATGGCTCTGTGTCTGGAAAAGGGAAGTGGAGGCAAATTTAGGAGGTATGATCTGTTTTTGATATGCGTCCAATTGATGCAACATGCAGTGAGCCCCTTCACAAAGCTGCCCAACCAAATACTGCAATCTGGGAGAGAGGATAGCATAGAGCAAGAGGATTATCCAGGAGACTCAAGCATTGTTTCTGCCTTTTGAATGCTCTATCCTTCCTCTTTTAAGTAGTGTTTGCATTTTCTTTAAGAAAAATGAATATTCGTCTCGTTATTCTTTTCTATAGAGAACATTATTTTCATGCTGTTAAAGAACATTGCAGCTCTCATAAAATTAAACTCAAAGTGTTTTACTGTGTGAAAGGTAAACA